TAGAGATGGCAGATTCAGTTCCAGACCAGCACAATAAAGCAACTATTGCAATAAAGTGAGTCAAAGGAACTTTTTGGTTTCCCAGAACTTATAAAGGTTATATTTATACTATGCTGTAGTCTATGAAGTGTACAATAGCATTATGTCTAAAAAAAAAAAGGACATACCTTAATTCAAAAGTACTTCATTGCTAATAACTGCTAATCATGACCTTAGCTTTCAGCCAGTCATGATCTTTTTGCTAATGGAGGGTCCTGTCTCAGTGCAGATGGGCTGCTGACTGAGCAGGGTGGTGGCTGCTGAAGGTCGAGGTGACTGCAGTAATTTCTTTAAACAACAATGAAGTTGACACTTCCTTTTGTGATTTCTCTGCAGCAGGCGATGCTGTTTGATAGCATTTTGCCCTCACTAGAACTTCTTTCAAAAATGGAGTCAATTCTCTCAAACTCTGCTTGCTTTATCAACTATGTTTATGTAACTGTCTAAATCCTTTATTATCATCTCAACAACCTTGCATCTTCACCAGCTGATTCCATCTCAAGAAACATTTTCTTCACTCATCCATAAGAAACAACTTCTCATCCATTATGTTTATCATTAGATTGCATCAATTCAGTCACATCTTCAGGCTGCACTTCTAGTTACCTTGCTGTCTTGCCAATGGGTTTCAGTCTGGGTTAAGTTCACTATGGATTTGGTGTGACCAAAGAAAATGAAAGTAGAGCGTTTTTGGGGTGAAAGGGTAATACCCAAATTTATTTCCAGGTGGCAGGTGAGTCACTAAAATCCTGTTCACTCAGAGCAAGTCTACATGCAGCAAGCCAGTCTCCGCCTCTGGGCCTCTGTCCTCAGTGCTGCCACCACTCCAGCCTCTGCTCTGCTCTCCTGAAGCCTTGCAGCCGTGCCACCATGTTGCTGAGAGCACTGGGTGGAGCTCTTTATATAGAGTCGGTAGCAACATATTGCCCACACGTGTGTCCAACCAGGGCCAGGTGAGAATCCTGGCCATAGGAACCTTCATTTTATTCACACTTGCTATTTCCACATCTGCAGTTAGTTCTTTCAGTGAAGTGAATCCCTCAAAGTCATCCATTAGAGATGGAACCAATTTCCTCCAAACTCCTGTTACTGTTGATATTTTGACAGTTGTTCTTAAAGGCATCTTTCTATGGTGAATCCTTTTCAGAAGGTCTCCAATTTACTTTGTCCAGATCACTACCTATGGCAAGTACAGCCTTACAAAATGCATTTCTTAAATAACAAGACTTGAACTGAAAATGATACCTTGATCCATGGACTGCAGAATAAATGTTGTGTTAGCAGTGTCTTGCCAATGGGTTTCAGCCCCAGGCAAGTTCGCTATGGATTCAATGTGACCAAAGAAATTGACAGCAAAACGTTCTTGGGGTGAAAGGGTTATACCCAGCTTTATTTCCAGGTGGCATGTCAGTCACTAAAATCCCGTTCACTCAGAGCAAGTCTGCATGCAGCAAGCCCGTCTCTGCCTCCGGGCCCCTCTGCCCACACAGCCATCCTCTGGGCCTCTCTGCCAGCACAGCCATCCCACACAGCAGTCCTCTAGGCCTCTCTGCACAGTCATTCTGTACAGCCATCCTCTGGGCCTCTGTCCTCAGTGCTGCCACCACTCCAGCCTCTGCTCTGCTCTCCTGCAGCCTCGCAGCCCTGCCACTGTGTCACACCCAGAGCACTGGGCAGAGCTCTTTATATGGAGTCCACAGCCATGTAGTGCCCACAGGTGTGCAGTGAGCTAGTCAACCAGGGCCAGGTGAGAATCCTGGCCACAGGAACTCTCATTTTACCCACAGCAGGCATGAAAACAACATTCATCTCACTGAACATCTCCATTAGAGCGGTTGAGCGACCAGGTGCATTGTTAATGAGTAGCGATATTTTGAAAGGAATCTTTTTCTGAGCAGTACGTCTCAACAGTGGGTTTAAAATATTCAGTAACCCATGTTATAAACAGATGTGCTGTCATCTAGGCTTTGTAGTTCCATTTAGGGAGCATAGGCAGAGCAGATTTAGCATATCCATAAGGGTGCTAGGATTTGCAGAATGGTAAAAAAGCACAGGCTTCAACTTCAAGTCACCTGCTGCATTAGCCCCTAACAAGAGAGTCAGCCTGTCCTTCCAAACTTGTTTAAGACAGGTTTGACTCCTCTTTATATCTATGAAAGTCCTAAATGGCATCTTCTTCTAATAGAAAATGGAAAATCTGTTGTTCGGTGTAGACACCTTCATTAATGATATTAGCTAGATCTGGATCGCCTGCTGCAGCAGCACTTGCTGCTTCACCTTGTACGTTTTTGTATTAGGGAAACAGCTTCTTTCCTTAAACCCCATGAACCAAACTCTGCTTCAAACTCTTCTTCTGCAGTTTCCCGGCCTCTATCAGCCTTCACAGAATTAAACAGAGTTGGGGTCTTGCTATGGATTAAGCTTTGGCTTAAGGGAATGTTGTGCCTAGTTTGATCTATCCAGACCTCTAAAACTTTCTCTGTATTAGCAATAAAGCTATTGAGCTTTTTTATCATTCATGAGAAGCACTTTTAATTTCCTTCAAGAATTTTTCTTTTGCATTCACAACTTGGCTGTTTGGCACAAGAGGCGTAGCTTTGAGCCTATCTCGGCTTTCAACATGACTTCCTCACTAAGTCTAATCATTTCTAGCTTTTGATTTAAAGTGATAAATGTGGAACTCTTCTTTTCATTTCAACACTTACAGGGCACTGCAAAGCTATTAACTGGTCTAATTTCAATACTGTTGTTTCTCAGGGAAGAGGGAGGCCCAAGGAGAGGGAGAGTGACAAGGAAACAGCCTCAGAACATACACATGTGTTAAGTTCACTCTTATATGGGTGAGGTTTATGGCACCCTGTGGAGAATTGGGGTTCCTATGGCCAGGATCCTCACTGAACTTAAACCACCTGATGATGTAACTGGCCTGTTGCTAGGCTACTGCTTCCACACCTTTAGGCAAAAGCTATTACTGCGCTATATAGAGAGCTGGGCCCAGTGCTCTGGGCAGAGGCAGAGATACTAGTGCTCGACCTACCACCAGGAGAACAAGCTGGATAATAAACCCTTTCACCCCAAAGAATGTTTTGCTGTCAATTTCTTTGATCACATTGAACCCATAGCAAAGTTGCCTGGGGCTGAAACCCATTGGCAAGACACACCCCAAAACAATTACAATAATTACATCAAAGATCACTGATCACAGATCACCAAAATAAATAAAGTAATAATGAAAAAGTCTGAACTATTGCTAGAATTACCAAAATGACACAGAGACACAAAGTAAACAAATGCTAGTAAAAAACAGACTCACTCAATGAAGGGTTGCAACAAACCTCCGATTTGTAAAAAACCCAGTATTTGTGAAGTGCGATAAAGCAAAGCACAATGAAACAAAGTATGCCTGTACATGCTTCGAATATTATTTGAATAGAGTTCTGCTATCTACTTGTTAATAAGACCTTTCACAAACACCTTTCTAACAGTGCTATTTAATCACTAAAACTTACATATAAACTCTGTTTTCATCTGAGACAAAATGGAAGTAAAAGTGAAATTTAAAGTAAAACAAAGTATTTGCAGAGGTCAATGGTTAGGAGAAAGGGGAAGCAGACACACAAGCCTAGGGAGCAGATCTACCTGTGCCTCAAACACTGCTACATTCCTAAAGCCACTTGACTTTGCATGCTACCAAAGAGATACATTTATTAGGATGGCTTTTTAGACCTAGCTTTTAATTGCATCATCTTCAGTAAATAGCTTATTACCACATACTTATTTAAATAGACCCAATATCTGACATCTAAAACTGTATTTAATTAGAGAAGAAAGGGTGACTTGAGTAGCAGAACAAATAACATCCACAAATAGAATATAAAGAAACAAAGTTATAGCAAAAAAAATTGCTTAAAGTTATGAATTATCAGAGAGGAGTTAAAGACTCATTTCTTTGGATAAAAAGACACTGTTCAGCTAAGAAAAAATTGAGACTGTCTTTAAATTTTAAAGTTCTTTTGCTTTAGCTACTTCCTGGGAAAGCAGAAGCTAGAAGAGACCTGCATTACTACATCCTGATTTCTCCTTCATTCATTCATGTATTCAGTCTACCCATAATTGTCATGCATATATGCTAAGCATAGAAAAAGAGATCAAAAAAATAAGTGAGTTATTTTCTCAGGGAGCTTACAATCTAGAGGTGAAAATGAATGTTAACAAAAGATGTACTATTATAAATTTTGGTGAAATAAATGAAGACTTGAGGTGCAGCAAGAACCATGAGACAATAATAGGATATTCAAGATGTACTGTCAGTCACAAAAGCCTCTCAGAAAGTGACATTAAAGCTGAGATTGGAAGGCAGGCAATGGAAAATTACTTCAAGAAGAACAGTGTATCTACTGCCCTGAGGAGGGATTGCTTGACTTTTTCAAGTAATTGAAGCTTTTAATTGTGTCAATGACTAATATCCCAGGGAAGAAATAAGAGACATAAAAGAGGTATGGCATAGTATATACATTTGTATGTTATCATTAACGGAGGAGAACAAGCAGTATTGCCAGGCCCCTCCTCTAAAGAGAAGAATCAGAGGAAAGATAGCTGGATTGAGGGATTTGAGACAGTTTAACTCTGAGTTCACAAATTTCCAAGATCATCAGAGAACCAGACCGGACAATATTTTCTCTTTTTATCTCATAGGGATAAGGATCAAATGAGGTAAGGTACTAAAACTGCATAACTTACAGAGCAGTATACACATTTTACATACCCATTATTAATGTAAATGCATATCCAGTTTCATTCCAGCCTTAATTTGTTTCAAATGTAAGACATTATTCATCCTTTTGAATTCTCTAGGTCAGATTCCCAAAATAATGTCTTCCTTTGTCTTTAGTAAACCTGTTTTTTCTACTATTGAAAAATTATAAAATTAATGTTTTATGCAAAGCCTATTTCAAACTTACGTTCTAGTGCATTATAAAGAAGTTCAAAATCTTCTTTTGTTTGAGGATTATGCCTTCGGTAATAGTCCAGTTTCATCCATTCTTCTTTTTCTCTTATCTTCCTTTGTTCTTCCTGTTCTTCCCACTTCAACCTTAACATTTTCTGTCTTCTTAAATTCTCTACTACAATTTTAGCATGCCATTGTCTGTAGTAAGTCTGTATCACTATTACCTATAGTTGAATTAAGAGGAAATAAAAAGTGTCTATACCGATAACTTTACCATAGAGTAATGAAAGGCGACAATTATTATTTTTACTCCAATTCAATAACTACAAAAAATACTGAGAGTCTAGTTTTAGCTCTATGCCAGATACTCTCACATATATTATAACACAAAAGTCTTGGCAAATACATGACTTATTTGACTTTGAAATCAAGCAAATATACCTTCACAGGAGGCAGTCTGTAAATGCTTAAGAATATAGGCACTGGCATAAAACTTACTTTAAATCTTCCCTCTGCTAGTCACTAGTTATTTGATTTGGGGTAAATTATTTACCATCTCTGTGTGGTAGTACCCTCATCTATGATAGTAACAGTATGCATATAAAGCACTTAGGTCAAGCCTAGTACATCACAAGTCTTCAATAAATACTCTTTTGTTATGAATATTAATTATCTTTACTTCATATCTTAACTGTCATTAGCTTAGGCTCACATTTAAAACAATATTATATTTCCTATACACACAACAGTTAGGTTATATGTAAAAATCACAAAAGGCAGACTATATAAAAAGGGATTTCAGCCAATAAGTACTTATTAAATTGTGAAAAATATAAATATGTCTGAGGGTACAGCATAATAAGGTACTCAGAAAGCTTGCAATGTAGCTGAAAGAGTTTATGTCTTTATTTACTAAACTCATAAACAAAAGTAAAATGTAGAGAGGCTAAATCAAGACTGAAGACAGACTATGCTGACACATTCTTTTCTCTCATCCTAATCCCTGGTAAGTATATAAAATTATACAAGGAAAAATCAATGAAGACATTGGATCATACTGAATGAGTCTCCCAAAGGAACAGAAACTTTGAAGAGGCCCAAGAAAGGAAACAGGTGGAATAAATTGAAGGAACCTGTAGCTTACTGTACTAGAGAGCAAGTTGGAAAACAAAGAAGTGTCTGTAAGACTACTTCAAGGCCAAAACTGGTGGATCCTCTGAGTAGAAGGGGTCTTAGGGCATCTAACAAGGATACTGCTTGAAAAATGAAAAAGAGACAGACTCCTCTAAAACAATTTTGGTAAAGAGCAACAGAAATGCTTGCTTCTAGACAAGAGGGGTTAGTGTCCCAGAAGGCTGGTCACACCTAGGATGAACAGAAGCCCCCTCTCCAGCAAACTAGCTCTCTCCCAGATTCATGCCTTGCCTACCAACCAAACCACTGGGGTAAGGATGTAGTAAATAAATATGCTGTAGCACATCACACATCAGGAATCTCAAATGCTATGAGTACACACCCAAGAATAACCAAGTATTTGAGAAGGCTAACAAAATAAAAGGTTCTTCATTCAACAACGAAGAAATTACATTTGCGTGAAACAAAACTACTAGAGCGGCAGTTCTCAAAGAATGATAACCAGACCAGCAGCATCAGCAGCATCTGGAAAACTGGTAGAAATGGACCCACACCAGAGCTATCAAATCAGAAATTCTGGGTGGGACACAGATTCTACACATTTATTTACCACCAGAGCTATCAAATCAGAAATTCTGGGTGGGACACAGATTCGACACATTTATTTACAAGTTCTCCAGGTGTTTCTGATGTCTGCTGAAGTCTTAAAACCATTCTGCCAGAGTAAAACAAAACAACACAAAAAACAAGACCAGATGAGACAGTTAACATTTTCAGAGAAAGGAAAGCCTATTGAATCAATTGTATAAGAATCAACAAAAATCTGTGACAAAATTTTTATTTTTGAAATTATAAAAAATCAGTAGAAGGTACTTAGCTTTAGTGCTATCAAATTTCTTAAACTCACTAAAGACACTAAAACACAGTTATTTAAACAACACAGAAGCTTTTCCCTTCTCACATCATAATCCAAGGATTGGCAAGCAGTTTAGGGCTGGTAGGAAGCTCTGCCATATTCAACAGATGGCTTCCTACATGTGTGTCCTAGGTGGCTGGTCCGATTCTCATCACCTTCCATCCAAGAGAAAGGGGGGAAAAACAAAAGTATTGCAACTGAGCCGCTTTAAGCACAATACCCAGAAGTGGCATACATCAATTCCTCTCACACTTCCTTTTCCAGGCCTTAGTTACTTGGCCTCAGCAATATACAAAATAGGTTATGCAATTTGGCCTTCGGTGATAAAGCCATGTGCCCAGCTAAAGCTTTACTACAATGGGAAGAATGTTTATTGGCTGAGAACTAATAGACTGTTGAAAACTGAGTGCAGAATGTGCACAACCTAAGAAGGAATTAGTAAGCAAGAAACGTAGGCAAGAGAGAATGCAGGATACAAGGTCATAAAAATTAGAAAGAATGAAGGGAAAATAAGACATGGAAGATATATGTAGACATTCCAAAACATGGCTAATATAATTCCAGAGAGAATAAAGAAAGTTAATTAGAGAAATTACTCAAAATATAACAGAACATTTCCCCAAACTAAAGCATGAGCTCTCAGAGAGTTATATCACTAAGTCTCAAGCATATCACAGTAAGATTACTACAGATAAAGTAAAAATCCTAAAAGCTTCCAGAAAGAGGAAACAAATCCCAGTGATATCAGACTTTTAATAAAATACAGCTTCAAAACTATAAAGGAAAATAGTTTTGAAAAAAAAGTTTGAATCTAACCTTCTACACTCAAACTAAAACCTGAGGGGGAGGTTAATTCAATAGGTTTTAGATGGTTTACTTCCCATGAATAATCCGTGAAAGAATTAATGGAGGATGCATTCCAACAAAAACAATAAATTAAAGGGGAAAGACAAAGAAGTGAGGAAAAAAAAAAATTTAAGCCAAATACATTATTTTTTAAATCATATACAGTGTATCAATTTAAATATATAAAAATAACCCAGTTATACAGTAAATTATATGATAAATAATATATTGATTATTAATAAGAGGAATGAGGGACGAGAAGGAAATGAAGAAAAAAGTCTACTAAGGTCACTGACTTATTCATGGAAAAGGTATAGTGCCTGGTTAAGTATGCATTTGGAGTGCAAAATTGAGATACATTGAAAAATGTTATAAGTAACAACTAGAAATACAGAAAAAAAGTACCTACTTCTGAACTCTGAAAGAAAAAAACAAAAAAGAAAAGTTTAGTCAAACCAACAATCTGAAGGAAAGGTTCTCAAGAGAATAAGCAAACAAGATATGAGTAAAATAAAAAACAAAATGATGGTGGGAACGAATACAAAAATTTCAAATATCAGTAGTCCCGCATTATCTTGCCTAAAATAAGAAAGGTTTCAAATAAATTTTAAGCATTGAATTCAAGAAGCTAAAAAATAAAATAAATATGATAAAAGTAGAAAGGAATCAGTGAAGATCAAAGAACTTCCTAACTGGAAATTTACTCCTTAGACTGTCCTTTAAGCAGTCCCTCTGTTACAGCTCACATGCCACTTGCACCTCCCCCTGAACCTCCTATTCACTTCTGAAGGACCTACGGAGCAGACAGATTTGGGGCTTGATGGCATTCCCCTTGGTAGGAAAGATTTTCACTTCTTCTACTCAAGTAGGTCAAGTTAACACTTCTCCATCTGCTTCACAACTTAAAAATTATCTACTGACATTTCTCCTTCTCTCTTCTTATGTATTGTTACTGTTATGTTTATACTTTTAAAAATTCCTTTAGTATCATTTTTATTTGATTTTGGAAAGTGTTGAAGAGACTTCCATTTCCCCACCTAATATCCATTCTCCCTATTTCCTTACTTAAAAAATACTTAATGTTATTGAGGAGCAACAATTTGAAACTTTAAAAATGTATTTATCACACACTTGCAGCAGGGATAGTCATGTGACACAGTTCTGGACAATGAAATATAAGTGAAAGGCACTGGATGGGGCTTTCGGGAAAAACTCTTGGAGGTGGCATTCACAGGATATACTCCCTGGACTTCTCCCTTCCTCCTGCATAGAATGCAGACATTATGCTAAAGGTTGATTAACCATTTTATCATCATATGTTACCAAGCTCATGATAAGATTAATGGAGTAGTAACGTAAAAGTACGTTAGGTTCCTGATGTCATCACAGAGCCACCATCCAAGTAAGAAAGTATAGCAAGAAAGTAAAAATTAGTTTGGACTGAGGACATAAAAATCTATCAGGCTGGAATAATAGTCACTAATAAAATTAGCTTCAAAGTTAACAGGAAACAATATTTTTCCCAAGGACACTCTGCAGCTATAAAATGTCATACAACATTCCCCTTTTTGAGTGACTACTGTTTTCCTACTGAGAAATTTTGTTCTAAAATCATACAAGTTTGTTTGAAATTCGATCACTAAGAATGAAACATCCCATTGTTGCCTAGAGGGTCTACGTTACTTTGACAGAAAAAAATAGCCTTGATTTACAATCATGTGCTAAACTTCAGAAAAGAAACAATATTCCACATCTCTCTTAACTTTGTGACCAAAGGAACAGGATTCCGATCCACCTCAGTTCAGACCTGATATTGACCCATTTTCACACAAACTTGTTTTGTACAGAGACAATCAAGAATTTCATTTAAATTTCACTGAAACTTCACTCTTCCTCAAAAGTCTGTAACTCCATCTTTTCCTTTGTTTGGTGAAGATTAGTTTGGACTGAAAAGGTAAAAATTCTTCAGGCTAGAGTAAGAGCCACTGAAGAAACCAGTTACAAAGTTAGCCCCATGGCTCTCCTGGTATGCAAAGTGCTTCAATGCAGTACCAACACACTTGGCTCTGTTGGACTACATAGGTTTGTCTTCCAAGGTCTTAGGTTTATTGGGCTAGAGCAACCTAGAACAACAGACTAGCTCTGAGTTTCCTGTTGTGCCAGAAATTAAATCATTGCTTTCCAGTCTTTTTTACTCACAGCAAAATGATGCTAGGAGGAATCAGAGACAAAATTTATGTGCATCATATATTGTATTTAACTGAAATCCCAATACTTAATTAATAAATTAAAGGTGTCAATTTTTCCCCAACCAACTGATGTACTTCT